GCAGAATGGTGTTGTGATCGGTTATCGATTATTTTGACGACGCTGACAACGTACAAAGTAACTGAAAGGATTTCTCCAGGTAAAATGGGTTCTCGTGCATATGTTTATGATATGTTTTTGATATATATGGTGACAATTTTTCAACCAAGTTATCAAATTCCTGTACAGACGATCTGTGAAAATTTTTTCTCATCTTTTGTCCTCATTTCTTGAATTAAATTGCGATAAACAACAAGGGTTTCTTGCTTACGAAATTTAAATATATCACATGTCCCAAATGATCGTTCTCTTCTACGTTTTAACAATAAGTAAATGGCAATTTTACGCCTTCTGTTCCAATCCCACAATCGTAATCAATATTCATAATCATTAAACAAATTTGAACTCATATTAGATTTGTTCGGGTTCTTGTTATTACCGATTCTGAACCGTCCTAGAACTCTGCAGCGCATGCGCAAATGAAATAATGTCTTCATATTTCCTTCTGCGCATACGCATCACAGTTCTAGGACGGTTCAGAATCGGTAATAAGAGAAACCCGAAGTAAGCTATTGTATGCTATAAAATATAAAATAAAGGTCGTAAACACGAATAAAAAACAAATTAAGTTATCTCAGGTTATGATTTTTTTTTGGTAACTTTCAGTGGAGCAAAAATAAAATGTCCCTAAAAATTCGCGACTGTATGAAATAGGTCCAAATTTTGCGATTATTTTTAGGCGAATCGCTTTCCACAATTCGCAATTCGCGTCTACATGAAACAAGCTTTAGGTTTACAGCAGATGACGACTTAGCCCTTCTAAGTGAATTATTTGTTGCTTGTTGCTCTAAACCCACTGGCAGACGTTGAACAATAAAGCACTGGAAAGAAGCACTTTAGCCCTTTAGTTTTAAAATACCTGGTAAACAAAACAATTACAAAGTTTTAAATTCAAAGTTAGGTTAAGTTTAAATAGCGGACGCGACGCGAACAGAATTCTTTCCGATCCGATAACTATAAATGAAGAGAGTTAATACCACCTCACGTAAAGGAAATAACGTCTGGCCTTATTAACGTCCATGCACGCTATTCGGTTTAGCGATATCTCTCTATTACGCTGTTTATTGTTATTTTACGGGAGTTTATTTTTGCGCACAGGAAATTTGACTCGTTTGCACATCGTCATAAAAAACAATTTTCGTACCACGAATTAGGGATAAGATTTTTATCTGTATACATATAGTATACTTAATCTGGGGTATTACTGAAATGATAAAATGTAAAGAAATTTTAAATTAATTTCCTCATTTCGCTAATGCTAAAATCGTTGCATCGGAACCTTTTTAACGCAAATATCTTGGAAACCGTTCACTGTTTCGAACTAAATGAAGAGGTACCACCAAGGATAAAAGAAGTACCACCAGTAGTACTCTCTACCCCAATGGAAAGTACCCTTCGAGGGTTGTTACGGAATTTTACACTATCGCCATTAGCTTTGGCATTAAAATGTGTCAAGAGTACCAAATTTCGAGAAAAATGGTTTACCAATGTTCTTAAAAATAAACAAAATATATTATTTTATTCAAAATTTCGAGAGTTTATTTTTATCTGTAGAATCATCCATCGAAGTTAGATACACTAGTTTTTTAAACCTTGTACAGGGTGGCGCCTCTCATACGCCGCAGAAGCTCCAAGGAGAACGGTAGTTTATATACGTAGGTTAACTGAAGGCATTTTATAAAAATACATAGAATTATACAATCCCGAAAAAAAGTTAGACATCAAAGTTATGTTTTTTCTAATGGCACACCCTATATATTAATTGATTTTCGAATTCTAGGAAAAAAATAAAGGTGAGTTTTATTAAAGAAGCATATATCTAAAATCTAAGGATTTTGACATATTTCACATTTTGTGAAAATGAAGAGTATATTTTAAATTTCGATAACAGCTACCTAAATTTTAGTTGACCTTGTATAGCCTGATATTTAATTACAGTAGCCACTGTATGTTAAACCGAATTGAAATTTGACCCGAAAAGTTATACAGGGTGAGACAAAATTAGTATGGAACATTAGTTACTTTTAAAAGCAAGTTACTCCTTTATTTTAAATGGAATACCCAGTATATTTTCCTGGTGTTCAAGGGGGAATTTATATATCTACAAAATATTATTCAGGTTGCCGACCCCTCAGATAAAGATTTTCCTAGATATTTTAACTTTTATGATTTTCCGTCAGTAGATTTTTATTATTTGAAAAAATCTAGGTGGCTGTGTGATATACCTTTTGTTAATTTAACAAAAATTAAAGATTGTAGAGTAAAATACTCAACGGTAATAAAAAGATACACGTTTAAAACATATTTTAATTATTACAGAATTAAAACTAGATATAAACCTATAATTATGTGACAAAAATTAGCTAGATGAAATCAAATGCTCAAATTGCTTCCTTTCCTGTTAATTGCATAAAATGATTGTCTTTTCAAAAGGATCTTTTCATTTTAAAAGGCATTATGTGGAGTTCTACCTCGAAAAGCAGCTACAATAATTTCTCTCATGTTGTCGACAATAGTTGATCGCGTTTTGTAAACACTGTCTTTTCATAATCCCCATAAACATATCCCCATAAAAAACCCAGACTAGATAAAATCAGAAGCATTTAAGTATTCTATTAATTCGGTAAGAATCATATCAATTCTTTCTGATGTAGGATAAGTTTGCATTTTCGGCAAATTTCTGAGAATTTTTTTTTATTTTCATCAAACTGACACAAAATGATAACTAGTTGTTAAAGTTGGACTAATTAGACAGCTATGTTGAAGTAACGCCAGACACATCACAGCCACCTAGATTTTATCAAATAATAAGGATCTACTCGGGTCAAATCATGTAAATGAAAATAAGTATCTAAGAAAATCTTTGTTTGAGGGGTAGGCAACCTTAATAGTATTTTGAAGAGATATGAATTATTCGTTGAATATCGGAATAATATACTGGGTCCCATTTAAGATATAAAAGTAACATGCTTTTAAAGGTGACCAATGTTCAATATTAACTTTGTCTCACCCTGTATAACTTTTTGGATCAAGTTTTAATTTGATTTAAAGTACAATAGTTAATTTAACTACATATTAGGCTATATTGGGTAAATTCCAATTTAGGTAGCTTTTATTGTATTTAAAAATTGTTTTTTATTTCTAGAAAATGTTAAATGCGAGGTTAAATGTGTCAAAAACCTTACATTTTAGTCATATTAAACTCACCTTTATTTTCCTCCTAGAATCCGAAAATCTATTAATATATTGGGTGTTCCATTACAAAAAACACAACTTTGATATGTAACTTTTTTTAGGGACACCCTGTAAAACTCTTTATATTTTTAAAAAGTGCTCTGAATCAACCTACTTATGCTCACAAAATTTCATGTCAATACAAACTGTCGTTCTCTTTGAAGCCTCCGCGGCGTATGAGAGGCGCCACACTGTACAGGGTGGGTCAAATTCGACGCTTTTAAATGGAAACACCTTTTTCTATAGGAGATAGACGAAAACTAATATCGGTGTCTGGAGCTCAATTTTCACCAAAAACATGATTGTGAAAACCGCAAATCAATATTTGTTACCGTTTCGGAGTTACGGGGTGGTTTCAAAAATGTGCATTTTTAACAAATCGCTGTAACTTTTTTGCTATGGAAAATTTTGTATTTCTATGAAAACATTTCCAAAACACCTTTTTACGTAGAATTTAATAGTTTAAGTATAATTATTTTTAAATTAATAATTTAAGTGTTATCAACAGAAAAAATGATTTTTTATTTGGGACATCCTCTATATTTTTAATTATCTGAAAAGAATTTAAAATTACCTTTCCAAAAATATAGCACACTTGATATTTTGTTATAATCCCCTTCGAAATACAGCATTTTTAAAAGTTCGCCACTTTTAACTAGTAGGCTTTGTACCCCTTATTGATGATATGCCCTTAATGGAACTCGAAAACATATTTTTCCAGCAAAACGACGCACCGCCTCTGAACGCTGAAGTTATCAGCAAATTTTTGCAACCAACTTCAAAAATAATTAGATAGCTAACCAAGATCCCAGCCGTTGGGCGTCGAGGCCGCCTGACCTAGTGCCTATGGATCTAATCCTATGGATATATTTGCGGAAGAATGAGGTTACTTATTCTTCCGTATAATCTAGACAAGAATTAAAAATATTTATGAGAGGGTATCTTTTACCCCCACTGAGTCAACGAATTCCGCGAGAAATTTTCAAAAACTGCCCCGTCTGTCCATAACAGAAGACGGTCGATATGTCGAACACTTGTAGCAAAATCTCATGTCTTGGTTTGCTATTTATTTTTATTGTTATTAGATATAGTTTAAATGTGTTGATGTTGGTTAAATATATTTTAAATTGTTATAAAATTCTGCATCTCTCATAGCAAATATTATTTTCGTTTTAATTGATGCTCACAGCTAGAATTTTTTTTGCATTACAGCCGGTGCCGCTCAAAGCCTACTTATTTAAAGCGGGCGAATTTTTATATACTCTATATCTCGAAGAAGAATCAAGCAAAATATCAAGTGTGTATTTTTGGAAAGGTAATTTTAAATTCTTTTCAATAAATTAAAAAAATACGGGGTGTCCCATATAAACATCAAATTTTCTGTTGATAATTCTTAAATTATTAATTTTAAAAAAATTATACTTAAACCATTAAATTCTACGTAAAAAGGTGCTTCGGAAATGTTTTCATAAAAATACAAAATTTTCCATAGCAAAAAAGTTACAGCGATTTGTTAAAAATGCATATTTTTGAAAAACACCCCGTAACTCCGAAAAGGTAACAGATATCGATATGCGGTTTTCACCATCATGTTTTTGAGAAAAATTGAGCTCCAGACACCGATATTAGTTTTTGTCTATCTCCTATAGAAAAGGGTGTTTCCATTTAAAAGCGTCGAATTTGACCCACCCTGTACATATAATATATTTTTTTTATTTTTGATGCAGTATACCTCTAACAGTGCTAGTGGTATCCCTCAATGGTTTATTTTCTTTTGTCGTCATCCTCTATGAGATGGCTAAGAAAGTACTCTTACAAGATATCCTAGGTTGGCTGATCAACAAGGTGATTTCGGTTTTTAAATACTTGGCAGGAATGGGCGGCTGGTCAGTGTTCGGCGGTAGAGGTAAAATACATTTTCACTCACCAAGCATCCAACCGGTGCCCCCCATATTGCACGTTGTGACGTCAGGTGGATTCAGGGTTGCCATCCGTCCCGATTTTGTCGGGACAGTTCCGATCTTGATCCAAAAGTCCCGCGTCGCCACGCAAAGCCCTAATGTCCCGATTTTTATTTAATAGCCGCGTTTTTATTAAACAATAAAATCATTGTAAAATTTATTATTAAAAATATCTACATGTTTATTAAGTTCTTGAATTTAAAAACAGTTCTTTTCCACGAATTAATTTTAGAATCTTAGAAATTAAAAAAAATCTTAGAAATTTTAGAATTAAAAAAGTAGATATTGATAATAAACATTCGATAATAAAAACTTGCGCAAAGGAAATTTGCCAAAAACGATATAAAAATTATAGATAAAAAATAAAAAAATAAAGTATTTTTAAAACTAGAGTATATTATATATATATATATATATATATATATATATATATATATATATATATATATATATATATATATATATATATATATATATATATATACACCTACAGTAGTGCACACTGATGTAACTGCCTGCAGGCTTCATCAGTACGGTAAGGATTCAGGAAGCGAAGAAACCGATCCCAAATCACAAAAATCCAGGAAGCAAACGATGCAACGAGGCACCGTGTGCAACCCAAGAGATGGAAAATTGATGAAGAAACGAAAATAAATGATGGAAAAAAAGGAGCAAACGGGAGCCTAAAGCCCCAATTTTCAGCCAAGAACCAGAGTCGCCCAGGATTTTGGGCTTCGTCCAGAACAGCCGCGGAGGTAGCCAACAGCAACCCGCCGCAATACCCTTAGCCGTGGTACCAATATGAAAGAGAAAGAAATAGTGAGGGAAATGTATAAAAAAGGAGAAAAAAGATTAAACGGCTCAGCCCTCAACAACTCGTAACCGTATACACCGCTGGTGTATACGTATACACCACTGAAGGCAGTTACATCAGTGTGCACTAGTGTAGGTGTGGTTGTGTGAGTGTGTGGGTGTGCGTGTGTATGTATGTGTGAGTGTGTTAGTGAAGTGTGCTTTGTATTCTTCTTTGTCTGGCCTCTCCTCAGAGACCTGTTCGGCATGGGAGACCCTGCCGGTAGTTACCTACAGCCGACATGGCCCTCTGAGTCATTGAAGCACACAAGCCCCACCGGTCCGTCAAACCGAGAATACATAGATGGGGATAAGGAGGCGTTTCTCAAATCTCAAATTCCAAGAGGGTGAAAACGCCCCTCAAATATTACAATATTTGTTATTTAAAAAACTGTTAGTCTTTCGGGAAAACGCTTGGACAAGCATAATTTATTTGGCTTTTTTACATATTTTAATTTTTTTTTAAAAAATCATATAGGGTGTTCCAAAAAGTTGGGTAATTTCTTAACCACGATTCTGCTTAAACTGCTTGACGTAAAAAAAGCTTATTTTTGGCAAACGGATTTTTCGAAAGTCAAATTCCAACGAGATGAAACTACCCCTCAAATATTACCAAGTTATATAATAATATCGCCATATTGTTTTTTCTCATGCTGACATAAATGTGAGAAAATTTTATCCAGTTTGTATGATAATGGAAATTCTTGCTTTGCTTTATCATCACCATTACAAATGATTAATTCGACGCGAACAAAGTCGCTGGTACACGCTAGTAATTAAATAAACTAATAAAACCAATTATACAGATTATACAGCTGAAACTTTTGATTTTGTTTAGATTTTGTTCTAGTTGTTTTAGATAAAATTGATTGTTTGCTAATTTTGTTTTCAACTTTTCATTTTTTATTTTTACATAATTATTTATAAATTTCGAATAGTTTTTTTAGTTAACGAAAAAAAGGCATAAAATATTGTTTGAAAATCCGATGGGCACATCAAATTTTACATTTGAGAAAAAAGGTTGGATCAGTGCTGTCCCGATTTTTTAAATACAAAAGGTGGCAACCCTGCGTGGATTACATTACTTACGTACAAATATAATGCATGGGACGTTGCCACAAGGAATCAACACTAGCTTCTACGTCCCACTAGTCAACTCGCATACTCAACAATGTTACAGTTTGTTGTTCCTTAATTTCATGATTTTCAATTGTCAGCTAAACCAGAGACGTTTATTTTTACGGTTTTGATACCTTACAAAAAACGTATGTTTGTGTCATATATCAAAAATGACGGGCTTTAGAAAATATCGGAGAACACAAACTCATTAGGGATGTGATTATCAACAACTTTTATCTGAAAACTTTTTGTCTAAAATACGATAGATAGATAATACGATAGATAGATAATAATACGATATAGATTATATTGAAATTAGGGACAATTTTTAAAATAGACAAAATTTGTTTTTTTCGAAATATCTAGCCATAGTGAGCCATGAACTTTTTCAAAAATCGAAAGGCGCAAATTTATGACCCCACAAAACTACAATTCTTTTCCCATTTAAGCGACTCTCTATCTCCGGTAGTTTCCGAGATACCCATATATAGTATTCTGGTCTTGAATTTCAAGACAAGACAAGAAATTGATTTTCAAGACAAGAATTCTTGTCTTGTGCAACACTAATCACACTCTTGCAGCGCTGTCGCCATCGCTTGTCACTCAAAGTTGATCACGTGCATCGGAAATTGTTTTTCGATCACCGTAGGTAATTGCCTACTATATAAAATAAAATTAAGACTTTTATTTTTTGTTTTGTTTTTAATAAACGTGCACAGAAAAAACGCCAAACGACCTGAAATAGGAGTAGTTTTGTTTTAGGTGTCTTTACTATTCTCTATAAGATTGTCGAGATACTGTACAGCGAGAATATTTCCGAAGTTATTGGTTCTGGAGTTAGATACATCACAGAACTTGTATTGAAGTTTTTCGGATACAAAACTGAAAACGGTAACAAGATGGAACTCAAGGTCACTGAGGATTCCCAATTTCTTTTCGACCTTTTCAGTGAAAACGGCAAGAAGTAAGTAAAATACTTATGTACAGGGTGGGTCAAATTGGACCATAATTGGACGCTTTTAAAGGGAAACGTCCTTTTCTATAGAAGATAGATGAAAACTAATATCGGTGTCTGGAGCGCAGTTTTCATCAAAAACATGATGGTGAACACCGCACATCTATATCTGTGACCGTTGTTCCCCTAGGAGATGCAAGACCTTGTCGTTGGTGGGGAAGCTCCTTGTCAGGTGCTGGAGGAATCTCCTCTAGCACTTTGGCTAGGTCTAAGAAGCATCTCATTGTCTTGTCCCTGACTGTAGTGTCGTGGCCAGGGAATTGCACCAAGACATATAACGATGCCGGACGGGGCTACCCCTGTCCGTCATACCAGGCACCCTCTACTGACTGCGGTCATGTCTCGCGGGTAGAGGGTGTGGGGGGACGAGAAGACAACCTCACCAAAAACCTAAATCCTACGATGGCGGGACGCATATTCATATTCTGCTAACGTAATACGACTTCGGCTGGATTCGTACCGGGAAGCGTTAGCAAATTATGACCATCGCAACTGCCCGTTGGCACTTAATGCCTGTTTAAGCACTAGGTGTAATTTAAATAATTTAATGATTAGATGCGTGAATGGTTAGTATTTGAAGGAAAAAAACAAAAAGTGATATGAGAACGGTTTCAAACTTCTTGAAATGCAATTTTTAACTAAAACGATGACAATAGGTCTTTTTTAACAAGGCTGCTCCGCTTTCTATTGTGTGATTATGTTCTTCATAAAAAACACAACACAAGACCATGTACTTGCAGTATCCAGTATCCATTTTCTATTAAGACATTCATTTTTGCAGGACAGTCGATATTACGAGACTTTTTTGTTGTTCGCGATTGTTAAACTTTAAAATGACAATGGTAATAGCGTCTAAGTATGTTTGTTTTTTTAGATTTTTCCAACGGTGTTCTAACAGTCGTGGTAGCTCGCCAAGCCATTTTTGTTAAATTTCCTAATTCGGTTACCCATTTCTGTAATAAATTATTTAAGTTTTTTATACCTAATATAACATTTTTTGAGTAGAGAGTCGCGTAAAGTTACGCTCTTCGATATGTTTTCAAAATGTTATAATATAGCCCTTGAGACAAAAAAAAAATTGCCATCGAAAAATATTCACAAAAGATTGACAAATGAACATGTAATCGTTTAGAGTTTTAGCTAATTTCCTTTATTATTATATTTTTGTATTATCTTCACTGGCGATGCGACCTAAGCGCCATCAGTTTCCCCTTTTAGATAGAATCCATTTCCTAACTTTGGAGAAGGATAAGTGCTCCGATTATGAAAAACAAAACATAAACTCTATGTGTTTCTCTGCAGTAAACGTTATAATCTAATATAACTTTCCAAAGCAAAAATAAACTAGTGAAGAAATTAGCTACGAATATTCCAATCATAATAATAATATTATCAATAGAATTTAATTTCTGTTATTTTATCTACAATGTTTTCACGTGTAATATTAAATCAAATTGATGTAAGGAAAACAATATGATGGCAAAAAACATGAATCTTTGCACCTGATTCATCGCTTCAAACGGCACTATGCTTCTAACGTAAATCCGAATCAAGGTCCGTGTAACCTTCCAGCAGCTTAGTTTGGATGGTAAAAAGGGACAAATCACGCGTAAACATTCGTGGTTTTCATCATACCACATATGGTGAGGTTATGTTAATAGTACCTAATTAACCCTTAACCGGCGTTGCGGAGTCCCTGGGAAAAAGTAAAAATACATTGTTTCATAACTTTCGTATTTGTCGACCAAGCGACGCGCGTCGTCTAGTAGCTTCCTATGGTGATGGTACCCGTCGGATGTTGAGACGACTTCGATCTGTTATCACGGCAAGTGCATCTAACAAACATCTTAGAGTCCGTGGGACTCCGCGACGCCGTTAGTGTAACGATATCAATTTAGTGACTATGTCTAAGAAATTAAAGGTGGCTAAAGCCACAGATCCTAACTCTGAAAAAACTATGTTAAGATGGTTTGATGAAAGTGAGAAAGAGTTTTCTGACCAAGATGGAGAACCTGAGAGCCATGTTACAACAGAAAATATTATCACAAGTGACCACGACATGGCGAGTGAGATGGCTGCCAATGAATCTGATGATCAAGATGGGACGGAGGTTACTGAAACTTTAGAGGACAGTAACACAACTGATCCAACTAAAAAATATTTCTGTTCAATCAAATATTCAAGAAAAGTGTGTGTTCAATGCATAGAAAATACCGAAGATTTCTAAATAAAAGCTATACTTTATTTGTTTTTAAACACAGCAATTTTACATTAGGAGTGGTTGTATTCTCTTTTTTTGTAGTTCCCACCTTGGTGATTACGTTTTTCAATGAGTAATGTTTTTTATTTATATTTTTCCAAACTGTATTACTTTTGGTTTGTTTGCTTTTTTTACTTCATTTTGTAAAGAATATGGCTGTAAAAATAAAAATATATTTCCTTGTAAGTGTTTAACGATGTATGTAACGAAAAAAAAATTATGTTATGATAACACTAATACAGCGCACCTGTATATTTTGCCCGCAACGCATGGAGTGCTAAAATTTCCGACCACGCCCTGTTAAGGGTTAATAAAAGTCAACTTACATCTACTTCTCTTTCAGTATCAATGTTAATTCTGAAGTCGTTCTGGCTGATCAAAATAATTGTACTCTTGAGGCCTTTGAATAGACATACCTAATGGTCAATTTTTAAACAATTTTTAATAGCTAACAACATGCAAAGCCAAATGTTTAAATGAATTATTTGAAGATTAAACAACAAACTGTGTCGGATGGCAAATACACTGCCAACGTTAGTTCAATTCAATCATATTCTCCAAACTCTAGGTTCAAACGCGAATTCAGCCGTATAAACTGCCAAAGTTAGTTCAATGTAATCATATTTTGCAAACGTTAGGCTCGAACGCTTGCGACTTTAGCCGAATATCGTATTACGTTGGCAGAATATGAATATGCTGGCGGGACCAGGTCAAAGGGATGCGTGGCTAGATAGAGGACTAGCAATTTCACGCCTCAACCTTGGGGCATTAGGGGGCACCTCATTGTATTTACAGCTAGAATAATTTCTCTCATGTTGTCGACAATAGTTGGTCGAGTTTTGTAAACACTCTCTTCTTTAACATATCCCCATAAAAAACCCAGATTAGATAAAATCAGGGGCATTTAAGTATTCTATTAATTGGTGAATGAATGCTGCATTCACCAACTAATAGGATCATATCAATCCTCTCTGATGTAGGATAAGTTTGCATTTTCGGCAAATTTCTGAGATTTTTTTTTTGTTTTAACCGACACAAAATGATAACTAGTTGTTAACCTTGGACTAATTAGACAGCTATGTTGAAGTAACGTCAGACATATCACAGCCACCTAGATTTTATCAAGTAATAAAGATCTACTCAGATCAAATCATGTAAATGAAAATATCTAGGAAAATATTTGTTTGAGGGGTAGGCAACCTTAATAGTATTTCTTTTTTTTTTTCCTTTCCAACTTTTCTTTCCTTATAGTATTTTGAGTGTTCCATTTAAAATAAAAAAGTAACATGCTTTTATACGTGACCAATGTTCAATATTAAATTTGTCTCACCCTGTATGACTTTTTGGATCAAGTTTTAATTTGAAAGTACAATAGTTAATTTAACTACATATTAGGCTATACCGGGAAAATTCCAATTTAGGTAGCTGTTATTGTAATTTATATAAAAATTGTTAATCTAGAAAATGTTAACATGTCAAAAACCTTACATTTTAGTCATATTAATCTTATAAAACTCACCTTAATTTTTCTTCCTGAATCCGAAGATTAATATACAGGTTGTTAATTTGACAGTTACTTTTAGGGGAACAGAATGGCAACGCTGCCTATTGAGAACGCATGCATTATTGATTTTTCTGCCGACTCGTCCCGTCGCGTCGTCTATCGACGAGCGGGCCGAGGTTGCCATATTTCAACCATAAAGCTCTTGCCGCGAGTAATGAACGAATTAACAACATGTATAGTGTGTTCCATTACAAAAAAACACAACTTTGATATATAACTTTATTTGTGAACACCCTGTAGAACTCTCTATATTTTTAAAATGTGCTTTGAATTAACCTACATATTATGCTCACAAAACTTCATTTCAATACTGTCGTTCTCCTTGGAGCCTCCGCGGCGTATGACAGGCGCCACCCTGTATATTAAAGGGTATATCTTTTAGGGACCCGACGAAAACCATAAAACCCCTAATAGACTTCGCGTTAGGAATGCTGGGTAAAAAGTTGATGACCGTGAAAAGCATAAACATTAAAGGCTTCGTCAATATACTTTGCAATCAGTCGATCGAGAACGGTCTGGAAATGGCGGGAAAAATTATAAAACTATTCGCTCCTTTGAATTTAGATAATATTATCAAGCCAGCATTAGCCGGTCACTTCAAAGGAGCCATGCATTTGCTGCTAGCAGATGTTGATCCAGCCTACGTCGAGGCGATCCTACCTGGAATATCTTTACCTCCTGGCACAACATTACGTAAGTAAAACTGCTATTGTTTTTACTTACAACCACATATTTATTACTGACATTACTGACTTTTAAAAAAATTGAAAGTGTCAAATTATCTACATTTCTTCCCTCTTCCATTTCCCTCACTCGGTTTTTTCTTATTTCTCGCCTCATTTAATTAAGCAAAATATTCTTGTATATAATATCTTTATTAAATACTTATCTAACATCAACAAAAATAAACAAGAAGATTAACAATAATAATTGAAGATTTTGATACATTTATTTGTTGAAATTAATGGTCAAATTTGACTTATTGTACGCGTTAATCGATATTGTTAAGCAAAAACTTAACTCCTGACTTGTGCCAGGTCTTCTAATGTCAACGAAAGACGGTAAAGAGTTTGAATTGCTACAGGAAGACGATGCGATGGCAACGATGTCTTTGAAGATATCATATTTGCGGAGTTTGGTTGGCTACAGATGCATCCACATAACCCTCATCCACAGCACTGGATTTCCATCCCCCTAGACGCTTCAGCTGTAAAATATCAGCTCCTCTATTTACCAGCAACGTAGCCGCTGTTCGTCTAAAAGCATGACCTGTGTAGGTTTTTGCATTGGGAAGTTTCAAAAAGCTATCAATTTTGTACGGAAATTTAGATATAGAATTGTATCCAAAGGGTTGATTTCAAGCTTTTTCTGATCGATATTGAACAAAAAGTCTCTCATTTTCAATATAATTTCGTAACTGTATAAATTCTTTCACAATTTCTATCCATAACTTGTGTTAGTTATCATAAATGATCTGCTCTTATTAGTTTTTGTATCGGGAATTTCTATGCAAATTTTGCTTTCTAAAATATCAATATGCGTAGTTTACATCATATGCGTAGCTCATCACTTCAACATGTCCCAGACACACCTACTATAAGCGCAACCTAAAACAGTGAAAAGAAATATTTATAAACAGAAAAAGAAAACATTTAAAAAAAACTTTACTTTACTTAACTTTTCTTTTTTTTTACTTTAATAGGAAGGAATTCTTGAGGAAAATGTCGAATAATCGTGGAATCTCAAATAATCAATAATTACAATCATATGACAATAATCTTCTCTTCTCACAAGCTAAAAGAACAGGTACATTCAGTCAAAAACAATTTATTACTCCGATTATCAACAGATTTTAGTTATCTCCTTCTAGAGCTAAGAAATAGAAAAAGCTACTGACAATCTAATTAATCCTGTCAAATGTTTAATTTGCAAAATTGAAAACTTCCTTTTTTGACCGCCTATGCGCGTCTGGGATGCGCGTTAAGTATCACAGTTTTCTGCAAAATGGTATCGTTAAATGAAACTCAACATATCGAAATTAATTAAAAAAAATTGTTTAAGTGATATTTTTAAAAGTCAATAACTCGGAAACGGTTGGTTTGAGGTGCATTGTGTTTATTTCGACTTTTGCTTAGAACCGATATATGCAATAATATACAGGGGATTCCATTAAAAAAACATTGATGTACCACGACTTTATGACCGACCCTGTATACTTAAATGTATTACTCGCTAATAGATATTTAAAAATCCTATATAAATTTTGTATTTAACTTTTTGCGGTACCTCCTATATTTTACTCACCAATAATCGATCGTTTCCATACATAACAACGACCCTGTATATTCTATTCCCATTTTCATAAACAAGCAAGGTAAAAAAATGTCACCTTTTCAATAAGCCATAAGGTCGATATACGAAAGTGGTTCGAAAAATGCAACATTTCCAATTTCGCCCTGTATTTAAGGAACTAAGAAGGCTAGGTCAAATCTATGCATCGAGAAACCTGTAAAACACACGAAAACGAATGGACACCCTGTACTCTCAAACCTAAAATCTTACTGAACTCTACAACATCCCATAATATTTATTATTTACTTATTCTTTAATATGTTTTAAATCCTTTCAGAAACGCATAATGATACTCGAGCACTGTTTCGTTTGCCCACTGAAGAAATAATCCGAAGAATTCCACAACTACATGCTATATCTAATGTATTAGACAAAACGGCCCTAGAGAATTACAATACGACCCTGTCAAAAGAAATGAAGAAAGACCGCAACTTCGACAGAGAAATCAGATTGGCTATTAGAGCGCATCTTACGTGAAGAACACAGACACTGACATTTCTGACAATGACTATAGAGAATAATGATAAGGAGAATTATTCCTGATCTTGTACAATAAAAGCGTTAGAGTATTATCTGGAGTTTTTTGTTTAATCCTAGAATACCATTTAGGAGGTTGTCTTTTATATGAAATGGCGTTCGCAAAATTAGGGCCAGGAAATAAACAATATTTTATTTAAAAGCAATCCCATCAAAAACATCGAATGTAAAAAAATGCCAAGTTTCGCAACACAATTCCTCCGCTATAAAAAGTTGTGAGATCTCATGTAAAACCAAGTCAGTTCATTTTATTTAGTCTCTCTTTTAGCACCTATTCAACAATTTTGTTATAAATTGTTAGTATCAATATTAGTCATCTTTATTTCTATAATTATTATAGTGACTTGGCAATTGTATACACGGCACCATAATTATAAAAAAAATAATCTACTATTTCGATTCCCAAGTAAATCTAAACGGTGTACTTAAGTATATTTTTTTTTAATTACTATAAAATATCATATCGTAACAAAGATGGTAGCATCTTTTCAAATGATCCCGCAACACTCTGTAACGCTGATAATATTTTAGATAGATGGAGCAGATACCTTTATATAAAAATCAAAATTTTTAAAACAAGCCTATCACCGGTCTTCCTATTACCATCACCGGAAAGTCGGTTACCACTAGCGACTAGACAGCTAACTTTTCAGCCATAAGGATATTTCGAGATTTTTTATTTTTTCCTTCCATTATAAGCTTAAAGCTACCTAAAATTCAAAACTTGAAGTTTGTGACACATTTAGAAGTACACACACCGGAAAAGTCTAGGGATATTACAATTTTATCCAGCCATCGTCAGTAATTTTATTATTTGCATTTCTGATATAATAAAATTAAAATAAACAAATGGTTTACAGAACGTATTGGAAATAAAAATGCGAAATTTACCGAATTTTTCAAATTTACCTTGATTTTTATTGAACTCAAGAAAATACACACATTTTTTTTTATTCTAAACTGTGAATTAAAAAAAAAAGATAAAACCATTTTTACTTAATAAAGGGTATAGCCTCCTCTACTGTTCATTACAGCCCTACATCGTCTCTCCATGTTCCTGATCAGGTTGTCGATCTCTTCTTGAGGTACAGCCTGCCACGCTGCATTCACGGCCCGAACCAGATCCCTACGAGTTTCACGAGGCATACCGATTCTCAAAATTCTTCTTTGGACCGCGTCCCGTACGTGCTCGATGGGGTTGAGGTCAGGAGATTGTGCCGGCCAGGGTAAGATGTTTAATTGATGAGCATTAATAAACGCACTTACCACTCTGGCTGTATGAGGCCGTGCATTGTCATGCATGAGAATGAAGTTTCTCCCAAAATCATTGGAATATGGTAACACGACAGGCTCAAGAATTAAATCACGATATGTGATTCCTGTTAGAAACCTTTCAAGAAAAACGAGATCGGTTTTTCGGCCTAACTGGACTCCTCCCCAGACCATAACTGTTCCACCTTGATAAGGGTGCACCTCCTGAACATGATCCAACCGAATAAGATTTCCCGGTTCTCTCCATACCCTAAGCCTTCTCCAATCCGGATGAATTCCAAAACGTAACTCATCCGTGAAGAGAACATTGGCCCATTGTTCATTCGACCACTGAACATGATCTTGAGCCCACAAATATCATACCTCTCGATTTCCTCTCGTTAAGGGTTGAGCTCTCCAGGGTCGTTTGCTTCTTAAGTTGACCTCTCATCTATTGCGAACAGTGTCAGGACTAACGGTTACATTATGTGTTACGGCGTCGAGCATTTAATTGTAAAAAATGATCTTGCTGAGGCGTAGTAATGCGATGTCGCCTTGTATGCCTTTCAGCAACATCACCACTTTCACGGTAGCGTGCACTTAATCGCGATATTACACTTTGCGTTGTATTTAATGCTCTAGCTACGTCGATTTGGCGCATTCCAGCTTCGAGCATACCCATGGCCCTTAGCATTTCGTCTCTGTTAAGATGTCTACGCTCCATAATGTCGTTTAATACTAAACAAAGTTATTTGAATGAATTCTGGCCAGTTATCATAAAAACATAGCCAGTAGAGGTGAAATTCGAACAATTGATGCTAGGTGCTTTTTATACATTTGACAAAAAATGCACAAACACTTCTGCAAATATCCCAAATTTAGAAATAACTAGTGTGACTACTTCGTTTCAATCGAAGTAGAAAGAATCGGCCTACAAATATGTGGTTGTTTATTCAAAACATTTATTTTTAACTTTAATAAAATGATATCCCTAGATTTTTCCAGTGTGTGTACTTAGAATTTTGATGACGGCGAGTGAGTCACTGGCGAAGTTAAACAAGTTTGACTAGAAAAAAAATCATAATCCTTGAATTATTGTTTAAGATATGTATTTAATATTTTACAATCAGAATATTAACGAAAATAAAATAAAAAAATATGCCCCGAGGCAGCCTCGAACTCGGGCCTCCCGGTGTACTAGCGGAATAATTTCGCGCCGTGCTATCAAGCCTTGCTCGATATGTTCAAGTCTAACATTTAAAGGTGGGTATTCACTTGCAACAAAACACTCCGAACGAACCAAACGCGCCGCGCACTCCAAACAATCTGCAACAAAACATTTTCCGGGTGCGCTCTGAACGACCTGCAACAAAACATTTTGCGCGGAGCGTTCCGCCTGTTTTCCGTGTTCGCTGCGTTCCCACCAGTAATCAGTGTTAGTGTTTGTCGACTTGGATGCATCTGATATTACCATAGCAGGTGCTTTTTTAATTATAGAGGCATTAGCGGGTAACAAAAAAGAGAATGAACGAAAAATGTGGACAAGACGACTCTTTTTGCGCCGTCAAATATGGCTTTAGGTACTTAGTGACCTCTAGATTATATGCATATAAAAAATTTTACAAGGATGGCTGCAAAAGATTTTGAGAATCTAATATGCTTAGTAGGTCCTAGTTGCGGTGCACCCTATATTATTAGCAATTGCCACCCAAGCATCATGCTTCTTTACTTTGTTATAATATGTCCCATTTGTCGGGTCCCATAAAATAGGCTGCTCTCAAACTCATCAATTAACTCTAAACACTTTTCTCTGTTCCACTCCATAACTAGGCACAGTTTAAAAGCACAACAAACACAACGAACGTTCAAAACTGCCGTATCCACTGAACACCGGCCAACGAACAAATTCTTTTGAGCAAATCCCGTTTACCGACAAGCTTCGGAAAATGTTTGGCGCGTTCAGTTCGGTTCGGCGCAACGCAACGTACTGTGCAACAACACTACACAAATTTGTTACAGCGCGCGCGGCACGTTTGGTTCGTTCGGAGTGTTTTGTTGCAAGTGAATGAACCTTACATATTAAATTAAAAAAATAAATAGGGACTTCATCACATTTTTCCTTTGGTTATAAGCTTAAAGCTACCTAAAATTCTAAATTTTGAGTTTGTGACACATCTAGAAGTACCATTGCGATAAAAAAAGTAGTACAAGAATTAGTAGTCCCAGATAGAACTGCTGGTCTATAAGGATATTGAGAAGTGGATATCGTTGAACAATACAATTATGCCACCTAACTTTTTAGGCGTTACCATGAATTTGGTAATAATTGGTAGGTATACGTGGCGAAATAAAAGTATAAAAAATTTACCTACCTTTTAAAAATGGGCAATTTTTCAAGTTTTTTTTAAATTTTACTATAGACCAGCAGATTAAATCATATTTTGCTGTACTACTTTTTTTTATCGCAATGGTACCTTAGAATTTTGATGATCTGTCAGTAAGTCAATGTCAAAATTAAACAAATTTGTCAAGCGATAATTCATGAATTATGAGGGATAATTACTAGATATTTTAGTAACCTAGCCAGCTATAGTATGTCTTCAAGTGTAGTGAAAATTAATATTCTTGCTTTATCCACAACGAAGTTACAGGGTGGTCAAAAGTGCCGCTAATACCTTCCAGAAAAGGATGGTACGGCTGCGCTCGACTTGGCGGAGGCAATGCTGTGCCCCCATATGAAAAAAGGCGTGAATTTAAGAAATTGTTTTGAAATAAAAAATTGTTTATTTCGTGGTACTAATTTTTTCTTTAACGCAAACGACATTTCATAGATAACATAAGGACGCAAATCTACCGCATGTTGTCTTTTATATTTTGCATATCTTATGTTTATATAATCTTTTGTTTAAAAGCAATTAAAAAGACGTGTGAATTTAAAAAAAATCTTTTAAATAAAAGAACGGTTATACGCAATGACTGAAGAATAAGGAATAAGGACCTGTAGCAGAATTTCTGATGTTAGACGCCATTTTTTTGGATGTAACGAACGAGTCATCAGCTGGTCATCAGCGACAATTTTAGTGATTTTTAATAGTTTGTGTGTAATCAACTTTGTATAAATTTTAGTACAATGGGGATTAGTTATTCAATTTTTAAGTGTAAAAGCCGCAGCGATAAAAAAAAGAGCCAGGAATTACGATTCGTACTGCAGTGAGCGTACGCGCTCCATTCCTACCAGCCTTTAGGAGTTCTCCTGTTCTACGTTTGGATGGCCCTGCTAGGATTTTCTTAGCATGTTCCATTCCGGGACTGTCATTCCAGTCCCGAAACTTCGCACCCCTAACCCATTCACAGAGCCTGTACTTGCGAGATTTTTTGGAACGGTGTCGGTTCTGGAACGAATGGCGAGCCTGCACCCTGCACCAATTTTGGCGAGGGAATCAGCACGTTCATTTCCCTCTAGGCCGACATGTCCCGGTATCCATATTAGCAATATTTTGTTCCTATCTCCTAATATATTGAGTAGTTTCTTACACAATAAGAATTGTCATAGACGTGCTTTTCGTTGCGTCAAGTGCTTTCAACGTGGCTTGACTATCCGGAAATATACTTATTGTGTTCCCGGTGTATTGTTGTTCTACCAGCAGTTGCACACAGGTTTCAATAGCATATAGCTCAGCTTGGAAAATTGTGGTGTGGCGTGGTGGAAATTTGGACTGCTGCAAATTCCTGCGCCAGATCCTTTTTCGTTTTTGGATCCGTCCGTGTAGCAACACATTTTCGCATGTAATAAACCCGTTTCTCGGCTTATCACATTTGTCCCTATTCGGAAACAGGACGTTGTAGGTGCGTGTCAAGAGTTGAACTGGTGGTGTGAGCCCATTCCCAGAATCTCATCCGACTGTAGTTCGTCTTCTAGTCGGTTTTGTACGAATATGATTGTTCCTTGGCTTTCTCGTGCCATATTTAGAAACCTATATGTAGCCCATCTCGCCTCTCTTTCCAAAAGAATTTGAAGAGGAGGTAAGTTGAGTAGGGGTTCCATAGCTTTTGACGGCGTGGAATGAAAGGCACCAGTCACCGCTAATCAAGCTTGTAGTTTCGGCAATTTATTCTTTGCCGTTGTTTGGTTGACTTTCTGCCACCAGGCCATTGCACCATACGTGATATAGCCAGTACATATTTTTGGGTTTAATCCCCAGTTTCTACCACAAATTCGGCGGCATGCCCATAGAGCATAGTAAGCCTTTCTTGATGTTTTTTCCATTTCCCAGCAAAGTTTTTGGTCCAGATTTAATCCTAGATACTTAACTTCCTCAGCAAACGGAATTGTCTCACCAAGAAGAGTGGGCGGTTTCAGTTTGTCTATTTTCCTTCTTCTGGTGAATGGTATGATCACGTTTTTCTGTGGGTTTACACTTAATTCTTTTACAGACTCGTCGTGAATTGCATCTAAGACTTCCTGTATTTTTGAGGAAATGTCCTCCTCTTTGTGTCCTTTTAATAGGATTACCAGGTCGTCCGCATATGCTTGTGCTTCAACCTCGTATGCATCGATGATTGCCATCAGGTCGTCCGCTAACAGGGTTCACAAAAGAGGAGAGAGAACGCCTCCTTGCGGGCATCCCCTGCCCGGAATAAACCTGACGGACTCACCGCTGAGCGAGGTCGTTGCTATTCGATTTTTGAGCATTTGCTTAATCCATTCAGTTATGGTTGCTTCGATTCCTCGGGCTTTTACAGCGCCAAGGAGCGATTGTGGAGTAACATTGTTAAATGCTCCCTCAATGTCTAACCGCTCTAATTTCTTTTAGATCAAAGGTACTCTTAATTTCCCCTACCAAATTGTTGAGAGCCAGTTCTGTTGAAGCTCTGTTGATGTTTCTTGTTGATAAGCATATTACCGGATATTCGGAGATTAGACGTAAGGATCCTCCCCCTAATATGCCCATCCAATATCTTCTCCACGGTTTTCAGCAGAAATGATTAAGGCTTATTGGTCGATATGAGCCAGGTTGTAGGTTTTGTATCCCCACCTTCGGTATGTATACCACCTTTGCTCTCGTCCAGTTAGCTGGCAGGTGTGACCATGTCTATATTAAGGTGCGTACTCACTAGAGCATTTTGCTCCGAATGAACCAAACGAGCCGAGCGCGCAGAGCCGAATTCGGCAAGTGAATACGTGTTCATGAGCAAAATCTCACCGAACCGAGCGCCCCAAACATTTTCGCCGGCTTGTCGGCACATGCATTTTGCTCAAAGGGGATGCGTTGTTCAGTGGGTACGGAGGTTTGTTGCGTTTATGGTGTTCGTCCTATTCGAAGCATTCGCGGCTAAAAATTTTCATTGTTTTGATTTTTCTTTGCTCAAACGAAATGGAGTGGAATAGAGAAAAGTGCCTTCAGTTAATAGACATTTATGAACAATATCCAGTGCTTTGGAATCCAAAGGATGGATGATACTATAATAAAGTCAAGAACTTTGATGCGTGGAGGCAGATAGATGAGATCATGGGATGTGATTCTAGAGAAGCAAAGAAAAAAATTGAGTCTTCTGGCAAGTTTCAGAAGTGAGAAGGCAAAAGGAAAAAAATCTATTGGAACGGGAAAAGGTACATTTACACAAATTATAACGAATATAACAATATAGCTTGTTTTTTTTTAATGGAATAGTAATGTTTTGTATAACGAAAAGAGCACCAGCAGCGATAATAGCATATCTTCCGGGTCCATTAACACACTCTATGCAGAACGGTGACATAGAGATTCAAAGCGCGAATAAAAATTAAATACAACTGAACGTGGGAACACAGTGAACGCAACAAGCACTCTGAACATCGCGATCTTTTCCTTATTGAGTTCGTTCGTGCGCGCTCGGCTCGCTTGCTAAGTTCGGATCAAAATGCTCCAGTGAGTACGCACCTTTATATGATAACACCGCATACACCATAGGCGTAGTCAAAACATTTATCAAAAATATAAATATCTTCAAGCAGCTATGTTTAATGTATTCTTTAACCATTGGTTATACCACAGACAAACTACAATTTAGTAGTTAGTTTGTGGTTCTACGTATCTGCGAGTCACGTAAATAAAATCCTCAATATCTGGACTGCGTAGTTTTGCTTTGATGAAAAACTAAATGTGTGTACTGTGGTTATCTTTAAAAGTAGATTAAGATGAAAATCTTAAACAAAACACATTTCTTAGTATATGTAACTTTCATTCAAAATACATAATTATTACAAAAAATTATTTGGAGTTTGAAACATATTGAGTTACTTTTATTGAGTCTTGCGTAAGAAAATATCGGCTCGCAATTGGTTCAGAAAAACAAAATACAATTCAACATTAGGTACAATTACTTTTTGTTTGTTTAATATGAATGTGCAGTTATTATCGGGTGATTAGTAAAAGGACAATAGCATTTGTATAAAGATTTTTATAGAGGTATTTAAGAATATTTTTAGATACACTAGAACATTCTTTTCATAGAATTTTCACTCCATTCAAATGTAACAGACCATGGCTCACAGCTTGAAGTATTTCGCAGTGCTTATGTGCTTTGCGGTACTTTCAGAAGGTAAATACTTTGTTTCAATTAACTTATCATCAAAAATATTGACATTGTCATATTCACAACTACATAAACAGGAAGTCTCGGTATCTTTATCTAGTAAAATATTTTATTTGCGTAGAAAGAAATTCTTTATAAATACTCTTTCTAAGTATGTTATTAGGTACCCTAAGCTTATCAATACACATTCCTCAATTAATACGAAATATTGCTTTATTACTGGCATAAAAGAGTTATTTAAGGTATTAGTTCCATTCAGCTTGCAAGTGCATAGTGATTAAAACTAACCACCCTGTATATTACTATTAGTTTCTTCTATTTACAGGGTGAGTCAACAATAGAGTAAAGTCCATATCTCATTTGTTACGAGGTTTACAAAATATATTAAATATAAAAGTTCTGGTACTCCAACTTCAGAAACAATGGCACCGCTGAGAATTTTTTACCACACTGCCATTTAACATTTGTTTAAACAAATTTAAATATTACAAAAACTATTCATTTTAGGTACCTATATAAAATTATATATAAAAAAGTTATGGAATTTTACGCAGAATTTAAAAATAAAATAAAAAATAGGGTGTTGCATTTAAAAAAACATACGTTTGCCACACTTTTTTGAAGCACCTTGTATACTCTATAATAATCTTAAAATGTGTATCTTAACCTTCCCCATAACTTTTATATTTTACATTTTTTTGTAAACCTCGAAACAAATGAGATAATGGACTTTACTCTATCGTTGACTCACCCTGTACAATGGTATATACATATACAATGGTTGAATAATGTTTATCTGTTTATAGTGTTTACTCTGAATTTCTACCATCTAAAAAAAGCCACTCGAAAAAAACGTTCGGATGAATTGAAATATCCAGAACCTCCACAATGCGAAAAAGACTCTATATACCTCTGTATAAGCGGACCGAAGGTAAAACTAAATTTAGAGGTTTAAATTTTTCATATAAAACCAGCACAGTCGTCATTTCAATAACAACACTAATTCATATTTCTATTGGCTTGGTGCATTCTCCGCCGACGCTGCCACCATCGGAAAATATCGTAAACAACTAGTGTATATGTTACTGTGTAAATGTCCGAAATGCGGTAAAACCTAGGATAAGCGCGCTAAACCTAGTTTTAGCAATTAAATAATAAAAACACAGAACCTTTCCGATAAACTACAATTCAACACATTTAATCAACTATAAATCACAAATAATACGTCAGGAAACTTTAATAAACACAGACAGCATTGAAACGAGCGTGCTGAAGTGTCTCATCACACTAGCGCGACCGACAGCGGTCCGTGCTTATCTTCCCAAAAATAAATCAATTCTTTGTTTGTATAATCATATTTCTAACACTAGGATTTACCAAAAGCATGTGGTAAAAGCCCGAAAACTATTTATTTTGCTTCCATTTCGGACTTTTACCGGACCCAAACAGTAAATCTTAGGATTTACCATACCGCATTGGTAAAAGTACGAATAAGCAAGTGGTAGTAAAAACCAACCAACCCCACCAAATAACCACCTAACCAATGCATTATCACCCCCCAAATAACCAGGCTAACCAATGCATTAACACCCTCCAAATAACCAGAAAACCTAATTAGTTAATGCCTTTGGTAAATCCTAGGTTTAGCGCGCTTATCCTAGGTTTTACCGCATTTCGGACATTTACAGTAACAAATATAAAACTGATACGTTACAAAAATCGATATCGTGAAACGATAATCGTTAAAATTTCAATGCCTAAGTAAACAAAAACAGAGATGTCTTTGTATATCGACATCCTTAATTTGTCGATATTGTTGCTATAAGAAAAATAATTCGTACTTTTACCAATGCGATGTGATAAATCCTAAGATTTACTGTTTGGGTCCGGTAAAAGTCCGAAATGGAAGCAAAAAAAGAAGTTTTCGAGCTTTTACCATTTGATTTTGGTAGATCCTAGGTTTAGCGCGCTTATCCTAGGTTTTACCGCATTTCGGACATTTATAAATACAATACAATACATATACAAATACACATAGCGACTATTCGAAAACATTATTATTTAATAGTGTTAGGAAGTATAATTTGTGAAAATTCTAAAAATAAAAAAGTAAATATTTTGATATCTTCAGAAGATGTAACTTGTATTATAATTTATTATTCCAGCTAAAAAAACTTTTTATATGAGTTCAACTCCGGTAGCGAGCATAGTTTTACGCACCGGTTTTGCTAGTGGAGACATAACTTACGCTATTTCGGCTATAACGAAATTTTTTGAAGGTACATAATTATAATTTTAGAAGATGTTCATCAAACATTTAATCGCTAGTTGTTGATAGCTTAAAAAAGTATACTATTAATACTGCCAAATTATATTTTATCCTCTCATATCTATTTAATTTTTGATTATGTATTCAGCACTTTGCTTAGTCATTGTTTCGTCGAAATGCTTGATTCTATTTTTGGTTTTGATCAAATCGGTGTGAGAAACTATGAAGCTATAAAATGTTGTTGGAAAGATGAATTATTGCACCCAACATCCACGTAATTACGCCCTCCTTTACGCGTTAACATTTTTTCGGCAATTTTATTAACATTTGAAATTATCACAAAACAACACGACGCCTAGTTCTGATTCTTTTTCACTTATTTTTTACTACTCGAATCAGCGTTACATCACACAAACCTCGTACCTGAGAGTGTTTTATAGTTTCAATAACTGCACTAGCAAAAAACTAAAATACTTAAATATTATGACAAAGCCACGATTTCAATATTATTTTAATGTGATCAACATGAACTGTAACCGGGACGCGTAAAGGCAAACCCCTGTACAGTACAGAGCGCGTGGTCTGCAATATACTCTGTATCACTCGGGGCTTTGTTTATAACTATGTTGCGTCGCGTTGGACAAATCCCAGTGCAATACAGAGCAACCTTGAATTTCTTCAAGCATACTAAATACACTCGAAGAAAATCAAAGAACCCAGAAGTAACTTTATCCTTTATCAAATTTAATAATCTGCTGAAACAACTCCAAATACCTTCTCAAATTATAAACTTTTTAGAAGCTAAAAGTCGAGTATGTGGAAGAAAATCCAAAAAAATTGAGTCCAGCCAACATTAATTTCACGTCGTAAAAATAGGGAACTACTTAAATCTGGAAGAATTCAATCTGGTAGGCCATCTAAGAAGGAAAGCCTAAACGGAAGCACAGTCTTGGCAATAACATCCAAACTTAATCTTCCAAATGACATTAAATTAAAATATTCTGTATATTTTCCAGTTAAATAAATAGTGTTATTATTATAATTTTAGTCCATACTATGTTGTACGACTTTTACTTATTTTTATCAGTAATAAGCAACATATAAAGGGTGTTCAATAATGACATGCCAACATTTAAAGCGATGCGTTCGTGCGAGATGCGGATTGAATATTTTTTATGAAAAAAATGGTACGCGAATGACTTCTTAAAATAAAAATATTTTTTGAAGCATTTTTTTGAGCATTTTTTTTCTAAGCAAATTTGATCCTTTGATTTTATCCTCCGACACATGGTTTTCAGTTAAAAGACGGCCAGTCTGGTTATTCAGTTAATTTGAAATTATTATTCATTTTATCAGTTATTGTAAGTAGTTTTATTTTTGTTTATTTGTTCTATAACATATTTCTGTTTTTTTTTATTTACATTATTTTTATTATACTCTTGTAAGAATTAAATTTGATTTCTAATTAAACGGAATATTTTTATTTATTTATTTAGAAACCTCATATTAAATTTATTTTCATTTGGTTAGGGCGCGGTGGGGTAAAAATGGGACATTTTACATATCTTTTTATTTTTTTCCCATTAAAAAAACCTTAAAGTAAATAAAAAAATACCTAAAGTGGGTAAAATTTCACGGGAAATTACATTATATTCACCAAATGTCATAAAAACAAGTATTTCTTTAATAAAAAAAAATAAATCTCTGTCTCATTTTTTCCCTGTCGTTGGGGCAAAAATAAGACATGCTTGGAAAAAAATGAGACAGGGTGTAAAACGAAGGTTTCCATCATATTATTCGATCTGGGGAAAGACTGATACAGGTAGAGTATAAAAATAAGACACACAACATTTTGTGAATTATTAATTTGTACTGTTTTAATTTTCAAAAATGGGAAAATCTCATAATACTGTTTAACAAAACAAGTCAAAGTAAACTAATAAGTAAAATTCTACTTAAAAAATAGAACGTAGGGTAAGTATAATAAAACATTTAGCTAATTAACAGAAAACTTTTGAAAGTCTATCGGAAAAAGCAAGCTTTTGGGACATTCTAGCGGTTCCTCCTTGGCAACTAGGGGGAGGGTAATTTCATTACAATATCGTCTTTGTCCACATTATAATTTTCAGGCACGGTGGGAAATACAAATTTGTTCACTTGTCGACGCATATACGATACGCAGTACTCACTTCCCTTGATATTTTCTACTAACGCAACGTAATGTACCAGTTTTTTTTTTGCTTAAGCAAACTTTATTAAAACATAGTCTCCGGAATGTATCTCATTTGAGCAGGTGTCAAATCTTCGTTATCTGAATTGGATTCAACTAGATCAGCTAACGTCATATCATCCACATCACTTTCGTCTTGAAGAATAATGCCTTCGGCTTCACTTTCTGAGGAAGAACTTGGAACTCGATCTATTTTTTGAATATTTTTCTTTTGTACCTTTTTGTTTGAACTCTACCTTTTGAATGACTTCTTTTTGTTTAATGCTTTCTAAATATTCAGCACTCGTAAGAACCGCAGAGTTTGAATTAATCTTACGTCTTGTCTTAGTCTCAGGATTTGTTTTATTGATTTTGGCAAGCAAAATTTCTTCGAACGTGGTGGACGATGAAGCTGTGCCCGCGATTGAAATATTTGATGTGGATGCCAAATTAATTTCATTTATTATCTGGTTTTCCTCGGGTTCTGTTATCTTTTCTTCTCCCTCTCTGTGTTTATCTTCTCTATTAGGTTCTTCAACTGTTTCAATTTCAGCCTCTTCGGCATTTTAAATTATACATACTACTATTTAGTACAGTATCTCGTTGTGCGCATTCGTTTATATCTTTTTAGCTTCACTTCATTAAGTCTTTCTTTTGGGTATTTTTCCTTAGAACAGGGATACAGACCAGTAGTTTCAAACGATCGTTTTATGACATCTCGTGAAATTCCCTCATTCCATAGTTCACAGATCATATTTTGCAAACTCACATTTGGTGAGCTTCCTTTGGTTTAATCTTTGCCACTCTATAAGTTTTGATTCCATTTTAATTTTAAAGGTCCAAAACAGCATTTGTCTAATGGTTGCAAAAGGTCAGTCGCATGTGGTGGTAGTTTAAATAAGGTAATGTTATTCTGGATGGCAAGCTCTATGGTCCCTGTAGCCAAGTGAGAAACATGCCCGTCCATTATAACAAGAAGGGGTCTTTGCTGGACCATCTTGCAGAACTTTTTGAAACCAAAAATTAAAACCGCTGTTGTCATCCATCCCTTGTCGGATAGCAGCATAGCATGTATTTTCAATGTCTTGCGTTCCTTTCCAAGTGCTCCATAAATTTTGTCCTTGATATATTATTAAGGGCGGCAAAGAGATCTCCGTTTGCCGAAATGCAGGCCATTGTTGTAACATTTTCTTTTCCGGAACCTTCGATACTCCGATGAACCCTTTGTCCTATCAAAAACAAGTGGATTAGATTAAAAAAATAGTTTAAGTATTACAATCCTAACTTACCTATCGCTGAGACACCCTTTACTCTACCGGGATCTAAATTAAAACTAGTTTCGTCTAGATTAAATATATGTGAGGGTTTATCTTGTAATCCCAGTTTCTTAATTGTTTCCCCAAGTTTATCATAAAAGGAATAGATGATAAAGGGGTCACTGGTTGCAGTTCTT